GTATGTATGCCTCTTTTATTCCTTGTTATGTCTTATTTATGTTTATTTTTCATTAGCCCTTGTCTTAGTCTACTTCTACAATCCTTGTTTTCTTGAGTCTGTGTATGTGTGTGTTTCATTTCCTGCTTTCTTTCTCTTTCTCTCTCTCTCTCTCTCTCTCTCTCTCTCTCTCTCTCTCTCTCTCTCTCTCTCTCTCTCTCTCTCTCTTCCTTGAGTTCATGTGTCCTCCCTTACCCATCCTCTCTCATTCTTCACTCAGCCTATGTGACCCTTTTCACCTCTTTCTGAAATACCATGGGTCCTTTTCATTTCCCCCTTTGACCTTTTATTCACCTGTTATTGCTTGCCTTCTCACTTCTTAATTCCTAGATTCTTTTTCCATCTTTCATTCCATTTCCCCCTTCTCTTCTCTTCTCATTTCAATTCCCATTTCCCCTGTAATGAAAATATTAACTTTTATCTTTCTCAAGTTATGAAACATGTCAAATTTTGTTAGTAAATAAGTATGCTTGTTTCAGATTTTATTAATTGCATTTTAAGGCTAATCAATACAATTATTTTTAGCATTTTTAAGCCACTTGAGAAATTAGTATTGTATGTAAAGTACATTTAGTTAAGTACATTTTTTTAACTTTAAATGGTAAACAAACAGAATTTCAAGGGAAAAAAACTAACTCCACTTAACTTTAGATTTTGCAAAGCTGATTTTTCATACAGAGTGATGCTTTGCTTAGAATTATGAAGAAGTTAAATGATAGATAATTTACTAGTGGTAACAACTTTCTCTCCTCTGCCCCCTTGTCTCACCTCTCCCTTCTCCTCTCTCTCCCCTCTCCTCTCTCTCCCCTCTCCTCTCTCCCCTTCCTCTCCTCTCTATGTCGTCTCTTCAACCTTTCGTTCTCTTCCTTCCTTCTCCTTTTCCTTCACTATTTAGATTACTTGCTCTCTCCAATCCTCCTAGCCTCTCCCTTCTACTCTTATTCACTCACTTTATCTTCCTCCACTCACTCTTCCCCTCTTCCACTCACTCTTCCCCTCTTCCACCCACTCTCCCCCACATCACTACTATTCTTCATAATGTATCTACCTATTTATCTCTTGATAAAGTTAAGTAGTTTGAATACTTTTGCCATTAGGAATTAAGTAAGAGGCTGCTTCTTCATTGGATTTTTTACATTAGATCATAGTATCTTTAAGAATGATTTTAGCATCGATTTTTTTTCCTTGCAAATGATATCTTCCATAGAAGTATTGCTCTCTTTCTCTTCAGTATTATTAAATAATGCATAAGGTGCTGGAGCTGAACCTTTTCCATAACTTAACATGAAGAAGCATAGAGAACTGCTATAACAATTGATACTGTGATGTATCAATTGAACAATTGATTCTAGTGATGAGGTGTTATCGCCTGAATCTCTTCATGTTGTTAAAGATTCGCTACCTGGAACAATAAGTTCCAAGTAGCACGGGCTATGGTGAGCCCGTAATGCCTTTAATCTCTTCATGAACTGATGCCCTTTATGTGTATATTGCTTTACAGTTGCCTCAGTGATAGACGTACGCCAGAAAGACCATTTATGACTGACGTTTGTTCGCTTTGATAGAGTTATTTTGGGGTTTATGTTGTTACTAGCCGTTATAGATGGGAGAGTTTTGGGAGTTCCGGCGTACTCGGTAGGTGGGGATCATTGCTCCACACTACATCACCACACACTATTGAAGATACCATACAGTTCACCATACCTTGCGCTCTACTACAAAACATAGCTTTCACACTACACAGTTTACCTGTGTTATACCATGAAACACCTTCTGTCTCACTAAACACCACACTACACCTTATCCACCCCCTCCGCCACACTACACCATATCCTCTACCACACAATACCACATCACAACCTCACTACACCACACTACACCACACCCTTGAGCCACACTATCTCACACCTCCTGTTCATTACACCACACCACACCACACCCTTGAGCCACACTATCTCACACCTGTTCATTACACCACACCACACCACACCCTTGAGCCACACTATCTCACACCTCCTGTTCATTACACCACACCACACCACACCCTTGAGCCACACTATCTCACACCTCCTGTTCATTACACCACACCACACCACACCCTTGAGCCACACTATCTCACACCTCCTGTTCATTACACCACACCACACCACACCCTTGAGCCACACTATCTCACACCTCCTGTTCATTACACCACACCACACCACACCCTTGAGCCACACTATCTCACACCTCTGTTCATTACACCACACCACACCACACCCTTGAGCCACACTATCTCACACCTCCTGTTCATTACACCACACCACACCACACCCTTGAGCCACACTATCTCACACCTGTTCATTACACCACACCACACCACGCCCTTGAGCTACACTATCTCACACCTGCTCATTACACCACACCACACCACACCCTTGAGCCACACTATCTCACACCTGTTCATTACACCACACCACACCACGCCCTTGAGCTACACTATCTCACACCTGCTCATTACACCACACCACACCACACCCTTGAGCTACACTATCTCACACCTGCTCATTACACCACACCACACCACACCCTTGAGCTACACTATCTCACACCTGCTCATTACACCACACCACACCACACCCTTGAGCCACACTATCTCACACCTCCTGTTCATTACACCACACCACACCACACCCTTGAGCCACACTATCTCACACCTGCTCATTACACCACACCACACCACCCCCTTGAGCCACACTATCTCACACCCTGTTCATTACACCACACCACACCACACCCTTGAGCCACACTATCTCACACCTGTTCATTACACCACACCACACACCACACCCTTGAGCTACACTATCTCACACCTCCTGTTCATTACACCACACCACACCACACCCTTGAGCCACACTATCTCACACCTCCTGTTCATTACACCACACCACACCACACCCTTGAGCCACACTATCTCACACCTGTTCATTACACCACACCACACCACGCCCTTGAGCTACACTATCTCACACCTGCTCATTACACCACACCACACCACACCCTTGAGCCACACTATCTCACACCTGTTCATTACACCACACCACACCACACCCTTGAGCTACACTATCTCACACCTGCTCATTACACCACACCACACCACACCCTTGAGCTACACTATCTCACACCTGCTCATTACACCACACCACACCACACCCTTGAGCTACACTATCTCACACCTGCTCATTACACCACACCACACCACACCCTTGAGCCACACTATCTCACACCTCCTGTTCATTACACCACACCACACCACACCCTTGAGCCACACTATCTCACACCTGCTCATTACACCACACCACACCACACCCTTGAGCCACACTATCTCACACCTGTTCATTACACCACACCACACCACGCCCTTGAGCTACACTATCTCACACCTGCTCATTACACCACACCACACCACACCCTTGAGCCACACTATCTCACACCTGTTCATTACACCACACCACACCACGCCCTTGAGCTACACTATCTCACACCTGCTCATTACACCACACCACACCACGCCCTTGAGCTACACTATCTCACACCTGCTCATTACACCACACCACACCACGCCCTTGAGCTACACTATCTCACACCTGCTCATTACACCACACCACACCACGCCCTTGAGCTACACTATCTCACACCTGCTCATTACACCACACCACACCACGCCCTTGAGCCACACTATCTCACACCTGTTCATTACACCACACTACACCACGCCCTTGAGCCACACTATCTCACACCTCCTGCTCATTACACCACACCACACCACACCCTTGAGCCACACTATCTCACACCTCCTGCTCATTACACCACACCACACCACGCCCTTGAGCTACACTATCTCACACCTGCTCATTACACCACACCACACCACGCCCTTGAGCTACACTATCTCACACCTGCTCATTACACCACACCACACCACGCCCTTGAGCCACACTATCTCACACCTGTTCATTACACCACACTACACCACTCCCTTGAGCCACACTATCTCACACCTGTTCATTACACCACACCACACCACACCCTTGAGCCACACTATCTCACACCTCCTGCTCATTACACCACACCATTCTAAACAAATACAACGTATTACAACATTACACTACACCCTTCACCGTACCTTCCATTACTTCATCCTAGCACAGTCTTCACTATACCCCCCATCACACCTTTCACTCCGCGGCCACACCCTGGCCACACCCTGGCCACCACCACACCCTGGCCACCACCACACCCTGGCCACCACCACACCCTGGCCACCACCACACCCTGGCCACCACCACACCCTGGCCACCACCACACCCTGACACATCCGCCACACTCTTAATAAACTGTTGAATTTCTTCTGAAATAACATGCCACTGCTGTTCCTTGTTTTCCCTCTGTCATACTGAATATATATATATATATATATATATATGTCGTACCTAATAGCCAGAACGCACTTCTCATTGTATATTGTTACAAATGATATGAGTGGGGCTTCTATGGGGTACTGGTACTATTAAGGGGTATAGGTAGTTAGAAGACAGGAGTATCAAATATGGGAGAGCTAAAAGGCCCGGCCCCCAAAATAAACTATCCACAGTAGTAATAACTTGCTACAAGACCAAATATGTTAGTCTAAGGGTTGATCACTGCGCTCCCACCTTGGAAGAAGAGATACTCTGTAATTCATGTACTTATTTATTAACCCCTTAACAACCCCCCATTTACACTCACACCAATAACAATAATAATAATAACTTTACCACACTATCTTACGTTAAAAGCCTTGGTCCACGTAGGCAGGATACAAGGTTTACACTAATAACAAGCTAGGGTAAAGTACTACTGGATAAGCACTGAAGCTGGATGCAGCTTAGGGTAGTGAAACCACGTGGGACCCTAATACAAAACACAACACTTAGGGGTAC